ACAAGTCTTAGCAGTACCGATGCTTATTAAGCATACTTAATAAGCATCGATATATTTGGTTTCCCTGGATATTGATGGCGAAAAAAAGTAATCATCATTTCGATATCGCCCATACCGGTCGAATATTCATTACGATCGGGTTCCATATTTTGATGTTAATTGAATAACCTATATTTAATTTATCCGTTATTGTGTCAAAATATATTGTACTTATATGCGCTATATAACATCCACTTTTAGTTGAAAAAATATAGTGTTCATTTTTAAAATATTTCCATGTTGAGTATTGCATATTATATTGTCATTAGAAATAGACGTGTATGCAAAATTTAAGCTCAACTAGATATCAAGAAGTAGTACTAGTTTTAATTGCAATATTCTATCTACATAAATGAAATAACTGACTAATATTAATTGCAAGTTTATTAAAAGCTGATACAAATTGTTGTTTGATTACATCTCTTTATAAGAATTATATTATATGTATTCCATTTAGTACATATAAATGACCTTCATAAAATAGACACTTAGTAGTTATTATTATTGAGACTGCAATTCATAATATTGTTATTTTCGGTCATAATTATGGTTAAATATGCACAGCAAAAGTAAACTTGTTTTCGGAGATTTTGTAATAATTTATCAAAAACTGTACTAGTATTATTCATATTATATATGCCTTTATAAACTGTAATTATTTCACAAAATTTGGAGATAATAGGAGAAGGTATATGATTTTTTCCCATATTTTCGATCATAAGTCAAAACTATTAGCATAAAAATAAAAATTAGTTTCAAAATGTATAAAATAAGCTCTTTCATATGATACCCTACGTCGACTAGTAAGTTCATTTTCTAATGCCTCTTTTGAACTCCTTAGTAAAGAAAATAAAAATAATTTTTCATTAATTTCTATTACAATATATATGGGCTGACAATATATAAAACTCTAATTTCTAAATTTAAAATCAATAGCATTAGTAGCCGCTGAGATTTAGTTTGATGACAGACGAACAGACGGACGAATAGATGGACGGGTATAAATGTTTTTTGTAGGTTTTTGATACGGAACCCTATTAAATAAAAAAAAATTGTTACATAATCAGACAGGCATAAATGACGAAATAATAACAGTACTATAAGCGAACTTTTTTATTAAATTTACCCAGTTGTCTATGGAGCAAGTGTCCAATATCTATCTGCCGTCGCTATATTCTCCCTAACCAACAGCATGCAGAAGTGATTTGTATTAAGCAAGTTACCCATTCAGCGATTTTAAATGTATTTAGCTAGATTGCATTTCACCCCATCTGACGTTTCACTTTATAAAAGAACACACAAATTATGGCAACGGGGTTGTCACGGTTTATCAAACGAAGCGTTGTCTTGCTTTTATTATGTCTGGTGCATAAAAAATAATAATATCCTCTTCTCTAACATTAGGTAGCCCGTCATATTCTTGACTATTAGAAGTTAAATAACCTTACAAAAAAGCTATTTAGGTATGTATAATTTCACTTGATACTTCCATTTTGACTAAAATTTGACTAATTTATTATAATTTATCATCATCTCAGCATTTGTCTGTTCACTGCTGAATATAGGCCTCCCCTATAGTCTGCGATAAAGAATGGTCCTGAACTACCTACACCCACTGACTCCCTACAATGTATTTCACTCCATCTAGTGGGGGTCGTCCTACACTGTATGGGGTCGCCATTCAAGAAACTTTCTTCCCCATCGGTTATCGTTTCTTTGGGCTATGTGACCAGTCCATTGCCACTTCAGCTTGCTTATCCATCGGGCTATGTCGGTGACTTTGTTGTTTTTGCGAATATCCTCGTTTTGAATTCTGTCATGAAAGAAACTCCAATACTTATTATAATTGCTTAGTATTAATGAAAGTGGAAGGATAAGATATGTATTTGCTATATTATGAGAGAATATGAAGAGTTACTACCAACCTATGTTACAAATGTTATTTTCTTTGTATAAGATCTATCTAATACAAACCTTTTACACACAATGTAAAGGATTTAGATACACGCCTATTTTCAGAAAAATGAATAATATTAATGGTTTATTCTAAAAGAGTATCAAAAACGGTCTGTTGGGCAGATTTTGATTCAAACGCAGCACCATAACCAGTCACCGTAGCGTTATGAATCATCATTTAGGAGCTACGAATATTTAAACCGAATGAAATAAATCAGGTTTGATGTAAGTTTGTATTTTGTTGGAGTATCGTAATAAATTAATTAATTATTTAGGATCTATATCCTACGACATGTAGTATCTGTGTACCAAAATTAGTTAGCAAAACTCTAAAAATACTTATTATAAATTTAAATATTTATAAAGATGTTTGAATATTTCAACGTAGGTTTAATTGCAATTAGTATTTTATAAAATTTATATATATTTAAAGCTAGTTATTATACAGGTGATGTTACATTTGTTACTGTGATCTTATTCTGTATCAAAATGAAACTATTAAAATTTTAAAAGGCCATGTCATATCCATTTTGAGCACAGTGAGAGAACGAGAAAGTCGGATGGTTCAGGCTCGTTGGACCGGGGAAACTTCATTTGCGGGCTCCTCTGGCCGTGAAATGAACTGAGTCCGATATTGCACCGATATTATATTTCGATTATAATACCAATATAATATCGACGAATAAAGTTTTCGATAAATTCACCTTTATGATGACGAGGCTGCTTTTTAGAATGCATTGTGTGTTTCTTTTTATTGATTTATTCTTTAGATTATTTCTTTAGGTTATTTAGGGTTATTTAGGTACTTATTAGATATATCACTTTAATTGCTAAATAAAAACATGGTTATAATAATCTAATTACTTATATCCACAAGTTTAAGTATATATCAAACAGTTTATTGTTCTTTAAATCACTAAACTTTTTAAAATATATTAGTATATAAAGAAATTTAGAACCCGTTTTATAGTAGTATGGCTGTTATTTTTACTACATACTAGTCCATTATAATGTATGATTTGCCGTATGGTCACGGCATATAATAGGCCAACCCTTCTTTTCCCGTGGCTGTCGTAAGAGTCGACTAAGGGAGGGCGAAGGATGGGCAGTAGCATCCCTCTTAAAACATCTCTAAAGCTTAATTGCGGTTGCCAATCCGCTTGCCAAGCGTGGAAACTATTGGCAAACCCCCCCCAAAGGGGAAGGCTTATGTTCAGCAGTGGACAGTTAAAAGCTGATGTGATAATGATAATAATGAATGTATGATTCATCTATGTATTAAATTCCATTAACATCCCTTTAGTCGTCGTTTAGTCGTATGATTAAATAAGAAGTTATGTATGTATGTATAACAAACATCCAAATATTAAAATATATTTACAAACTTTTACATTTATGCTATTAGAACTAGCTTTAAGTCGTAGCTTTACTTACGTGCAATTCACTATAGGATAAAATGGTTTACTTGTGTAATATATTTCATTAAAATCTGTCTAATTGTGATTAGTTTAAATCCCGTCAAATATCTTTATAAATTTTCTCTTTTATGTATATGCATAAATAAACATAAAGTGGTAGGTACTTTATTTTAAATATAATGCCAAAGTTATTTTAAATATAATATCAAAACTTTGCGTAGCTTTGATGGACAGAGATTTAGAATGTATTTATATACAAAGCAAGTTAGTGTATAAGCTTACAGTCTTGAAGAGTTATTGAAATATAGCGATAAGTGTATTTTTTGAAAATTATTGGTTTAATTAGGCAATTTTTTTAAATGATTGTAATATTAAGATTTTTATGGAAACAAATATTGGAAAAGTTGTTCGAAAGGTTTTCTACGGAGATAATAGAGACCACTTAAGATACTGTGTCATCCATATACCCTTTATGCGTTACCATTCCTGAGAAGTAGGGTATTACATTTCTGTATCCTGTAATTTCTTTTCATATCCCAGCTTTTAATTCAAAACATGTCCATTCAATACTTTTTATATATATACTATTTTGTTATCTACATTCGATTATAATTGAATTTATAACGAGATTTGGCTGTTTCTTGCTTTTGAAATTTGATTGGGAAAACATTTTTTGAGTCATTTTTTTGAATAATTAATTTATTCTTTGTTAAATATTACACGTATTGCATCATAATGTGGATGTTCTTTCCCACTTTGACAATTATAATTTTTGAATCAGTTCTGTTATTCGCCTATATTAGGACATACTAAATACCAATAAAAATAATCCATAAATACGTAAGTAGGCCTATAGTTCTTATTATATGTGTTTTCTTCTTGCTGAGTCAGGAATATCGATTTTATGAAATTTATAAACAGAATGATCAATAGGTTGGGCAGTAAATTTTATAGAACAAATAAATGAATGCGTCATATGTGCAATGATGGCGATAATTATAGTTAGTATGTACAACCATAATTGTATGTATCATTGTCTTGTGGTGTTAATTTGTAAGTTATTTATAGTTATTATTAGGTATCGTAATTTCATTACTATTAAAGTCTTAAATAATTAGTTGACTCCGTGTCTGCTAAAGATATATTTTATTTCGTATGAAGTAATTTTAATATCACTTGATTATTCATATGTTAAATTCACGATCGGTACTTGATTATTCATCAAAGATATCATAAAATATAGTGGCAAAAATTTCTCAGTTATTAAATGCTGATAGGGTTCTAATATAGAATTTCACTATTTAGGTATTATAGCATATTGGTTTTCTTTAATAATAAAGTATATGAGTTCTTTTTTTAGTTATTTTGTTACCAGATATTAATTATTGATGTGTATTTCATACATATAAATGAATTTATAACTATGACTATATTCGTGATGGTTAGATGCATTTCAGTCAATGAAAGTAAAGCTTAATGTCTCCATACTGGAAAATTTGCGTGGAAACATTGATGGGGCTTATGCAAACCGTACTTTGGGGTCCGCTGAAAATTTTCTGAAAAGTGAAAAACCACGCCTCTTTACAGGAGGGTTTGGGATTGGTTGGCTTTCGTCTACATCCGTAGCTGTGGCGGCCAATGGCGTAGGGGGCTACGCGCAGCCGTCGCGCTACGCAAGAGACGCGCGGGGTGCTACGCCAGCGACAGACGCTACGAAGAACCTGCTACGCCTGGGATCTAGAAAAATGTAAGTATTATATATAATATATTCCTATTATGTATTTATATAATTTCTATATAATATTTTTTGGTCATTTTTGTTAGGATATACAATTTTAGAGGTACCTACCTATATTGCATAACAGTGCCTATACCCGGGTTGGATCGATTACGCAACCAGTTATCTATGTATATGTATATATATTATACATAATCTATATTTATATATGTGGTTTCACATTTATACAGTGGTTACCAATATATGTTTATTTATACTTAATATTTAATATTTAGAAGTTAAAAAAACACATCTTAGTTAAAAAGTATGTAAAATTTATTTAAAAATTTGTTTGGTTTATTATATAGACGCTATTATGTTTCATTAAAATTAATTTTCTGCCTATGATTATTGATAAATCCTAAAAGACGTATTATTTATATCTTACATAGTGAAAAGTGAAAGTATAATTATTTTTCTATTAATTATTATTCTTCTAATGTTTATTAATATTTTTTCTTAATTTTAATGTTTTCATAGGTACCTTAATATTTTTTATTCACGATGACTGCAATCTAACTTATATTTATAATAACCTATTGTTATCCCACTATTGGCACGGATCTTTATCCTTAAGAAAATAATATGACCCACTGTGACAATGCTGGCTAAGTGGCGTGCTAAAGGATTTTACTTTCTCTTGTACGAATATATTCTATTTGTAATCACTTTATTGTTTATTATACATCTTCAGAAGAAGACAATATGCTGTATTTAAGCATATTTCAGGAGACTCCTGAAATATTTTTAACCGACTTCAAAAAAGAAGGAGAACCTTAATTCCGTTGTATTTTTATTTTATTTATATTTGTTACTTCATAACTCTGTTAGTTACAACCGTATTTCAAAAATTTCTATTTTATATGAATGAAAATACTTACAGAGTAGTTTCATAGAAATTTTATATAGATTTATAAACCGATTGGTTTAGCAGTTTAGAATATAAATTCAAATAACTGGTTTTGCTAGAACTGAATTTTGTGAAACACAATCTTATGATCATATCATATTAATATTGGCACCTTCAACTTCCTATTTTCGCATTGCATATAGTTTTATTAATGAAATAAACGACTAATATGATTACAATATTTTTCAGGCGCGTGTATTTTTTACGTAACATGCAATGGCAAACAAGCTGACAGCTCATCTGATGGAAAATAGTAACTGTTGTCTATAGACATGAATAGCTACATGGATAAGTATCATATCAGATACTGTCATGCTCATTATATTTTTTTGATTCGAATCGATCGTATTATGATTATGAAATCCGTAATTTTATTACCTTATTCCACCGTTCAAACCGAAATACAGTCATGCAAGCATAGAGGCATAGCGGCGAAAACACTAGTGGGACAGATAACTTAAGCAGATGATTTATTTTACAAAGTTTCCTTCTGGTGCGATATATGCATATTCAATTGTAGTCTAAACAGCTCAATACATTGCTTCAGATTCGTCTTTGTATGGGATTAATATAAACTACATGTGGACAGTATGAAATGATATGGCTGTCATTTTATGGTATTGATCATGTTTATAGTCGAAGCTTGTCTGACATTTTAAGTTGCAAAAAATAATCCTGTATTTTGAATTCTTAAAAAATGTTTGTATTACAGGTGTTAGTAACGTGTAAGTGAATGACGGAAGCCGGGCATCAGCAATGCAAGGGCTGCAAGCCGCGAAGGACAAGGCCTCCGGCCTGTTCGCCACCAAACCCCTTCTGTTCAAGTAAGTAATCATATCTACAAAATGCAGTAAATCTTGGGTTTTTATACAACTTGGAAATTAACAAAGCAGCTGGTGTAGTTAAAACAAGCCTGCTTAAAGAAGCAGTATTTTAGGACCAATACGACATCGTAACCTTGAAGAAAAGGGCAATATTTTTTTTAAAAGGCCGGCAGCACAGTTGCAATGCCTTAGGTGTTGTGGGTGCTCATAGGCGGCGGTCGTCACTTACCATCAAGTGAGTTATATGCTCGTTTGCTCCCTGTGTTATCAAAAAAAGAAAAATGGAAACTGTGGTGTATAGGAACAGCACCATGTACTAGGTGTGCTGGAAATTGTATTCGTATTCGTTGGCATATTTAAGTGACGCCAAAATAGAAGAATTTTTCCCATTTGGTCTGTATTTTGTTATACATATGTTATACGATATCTTCTTCATTTGTCAATCATTTTTGCAATCAACAGGGTCTATTCCCTGATATGCCTCATATTTGGCATAATTGAAATTGCTGTTTTTTTTTTCTGGAACGCAATCTTATTCAGGAATGAACAATAAACTTGAATTTAGAATTTTTAGAAAGTCAGTAACACACAAGCAACTGCTCTTGTATTGCAAGTGTTCCTGGGCGATGGTAGCCACCTGATAAGGTGGCCCGTCTGCTAGTTTGCCTCCCTAATAATAAAAACATTTATTAAGCTTAGTATGATTTTTATACTGTCATTATATGAATTCTTAACTATCCATTGCTGAACATAAGCCTTCCTCATAAGGTGAGTTTTGCTAGTAGTTGCCACGCAGGCTTGACGGGTTGGCAACCGCATTTAGGCTTTTAGAAATATTTGGAGAGGGATGCTGCTGCCCATCCCTCGATTATTAAATTTCCTTAGTCACCTATTACGACACCCACGGGAAAGAAATGGGGTGGCCCATTCTATGCCAGGACCATACGGCGAGCTTTTTATACTGTGTAACAGTTTAATATGAAATAATTTATTTAAGTAATATCTATATTAGAGTTAAAAATCACGGTCATATAGATAACTAACAATACACTGCATTTGTCAATTTAGGTACTTGCTTGCTAGCTGGTATGTTCTAGGCATCTCGGCATAAAGTTTCATGTTTCTTGCTACGGGCGTATTTAATATTCACATGAATTTCATTTCAAAATAAATTTAAAAGCAGATTTTTATTATTTTTATATATCAGTTATTGTAGTATATTTTAATGTGTATAATGTGAACTATCTATTTATTTTAATGTAATAACTAGGTATTGTTTTATTTTAAACATTTTTGTAAATATTTCAGTTATATTTTTTGGATTTAAAAATAAGATTAAATTAAACTAATAAAAGTTTTAACATGAGGCGATAGTACAGCAAGCAGTCATTAAGGTTTTCTTCTATAACTTACTGTAGGACGGCGTGATAGAAGAGAAAAGTATATTAAATTGTCTGAAGATACTTGGATTTCTAAAAAAATGTAGAGATAATTAGAGACCCATGAATTCACAGTTATTCGCTATAATATTGTCGTTGATATCGATGGTTTGTCTTCTTTGTTGATATCATCGTTTTACTTTAGTTTTAACTTAATTAGACCTCCATGAAATCTCGAATTTACATTTCATTTTTAATTATACTGTAATAAATCTGTAGAGTTCTATAATAAAAAGGAAAATTCTTGTAATTTTATCACGCTAGGTATACATCCACAAGTTCTTGTAACATTATTTGGAGTAGGTTTATTTAACAATTTTCTAAAGTTCTGAACTTTTATATTTTAGCCTACCGAAGTAACGTCACAATTAGCAGTCATTTGTCAAAAACAATTTAACAAATTTCAATATTTATCTGAAACCTTTTAAACAATGAATCAGAAATATCGAAGATCATGATTTTTTTAATAATTGACAAATATATCTGTGACGTTATAATTTGTAGTAATGGTTGCCATAACCCATTTTAAGCATGATTTGTAATGCTTAACGCCGGTTTCCTTAATATTTATCAATTCAAAATACAAAAACATACGAGAATCAATAAAATGTGGCAAAACAAACAGTCGTTTGATCGGGAGAGAAGCAATTTGGCGGAAGCCGTTGAAGCTGCGAGTCGATCGTCGATAATATTGACAGCCGGATAATACGTGTAGCAAGAAAATAAAATATAAGGGCTGGAAGTCTCGGACGTTTCAGTAACGAGCAGTTTTAGTTTAGGGACGTTATTCATTTGTATAATTACCCTAAAATAAATTATATTTTCTTAGCTTGAATTATTTACATTTTTCAAATAAAAGTTTTTTAACATGAACAAACATTAATACATTGGACTGTAGTTTAATCAGTTAAATAATATTAAGTACTACAAATTTCGATGATAATTTGGCAGTGAGTTGTTTCTGAATAGACTTTCATACACTTAGTGGAGTTAATAACATATGTTTTATATTATTATGCATATAAAAATGAGTTTGTTTGTTACTTCTTAGCGTCTTAACTAATCTTTATCAAACGTACTATATGGAATGAGAAAGGATATAGGCTACTTTTAATCCCAGTCAATCAACATATCCCGGTCATGTGGACGAAGTCAACAAAAATAATTATAAAAATAAAAATAATAATGGTAATAATAAACGGAACAAATATTAGATTTCCGATTTTATCATGTATTGTGACATATTTGTAGTTATAATATAAGACAGTCACAAATTTTGACATTGATCATAAATGTTAAACATAAGTAGGCGATAAGTTGAAGCTTGTAAGTAAATCTATTTAAATAAAGATGATTTGAATTTGTTGATAAAAAGAAGTCATAAAAATCTATATTATTATTAAAATTATGTCAAAATTTATTATTCTTCATTACACTTTTTTAATAAAAACTATTAGAATACAAACAATTAATATATTTTTTTTTCTTGCGTTCTACAAATTATATTAAATGTTTCTAATATAAATCGTATTCACGTAATATTTACTGGACTCTGAGGTCTTAATATAAAAAATGACTAAAAACCACTTCAATCTCGCAAATCGAGCGAGCTCAATAAATAATGCGATTATTGTACAGCAGGAGGCAACCCTACAGGCTCAGTCGACTGCTCAGCGCTGATAACAAACAGACATCATCCGGATTTGTGTCGTCATGCGAACCGACTGCCGACTACCGACGATTGCACCAGCTCTGATTTGTTAACAAACCTATACGCTTATTTGAAATGATTATCTGTTATAGCTTTCAATCATTGACAGGTTTATATAGCAAAAGTTGTTGTTGTTGCAGCCTCATTTACTGTAGTAAATCTATTTATAAAGATAATATTTTTCAACAAAATTAGACCATGTAAAATTAAATTTCTTAATCAAAAATATACATAGTTTTTAAACAAAAAATAAGCATGCAAATCGTCCTATAAATAAAAAAATCAGTTCCAGTACTTATAGCTATAATTTTATGTCTTACGGACAACCATAAAAAGTTACCCTTGTAACATACGAGTATTTGAGTACAATATTTGCCTTCTATGTAGTTTGAAAACGGCTTCATAATATTTTAACCGATTAAAACCCAATGTTTAATTTACAAATTATTGAAATAAAAATCGTAAAAGGTTTTTACATTTTCTTTATCTTGCTATTATCTTGCTAGAGTACTATTATAAAGTATAGAAATTGAAATCGAAATAATATTGGCATTTTTTAAGAAAGCGTTTCATCAGTGAAATCGTTTTTTGCAAACGATATTAATTGTAAAACAAGTACGTTTTTTTTAACATATGCAATAACAAATACCCAACATATGTATATATTACATTACAATACCCTACATATTAGTAAATTTGAGGGTTAGATTCTGAATTGATAAAAAAATAGGATCATCGTCATCTAAGAGTGTTTGTTGTATTTGTTAATTGTTAAAAAGCCAGATAGTTTAAAATACAAAAATGGGGTGTATAATAATAATGTGGTGTCATAAGAATAGGTTGAGATGACAATGTGAGGAAACAAATTGATCTCCTCAGATTTCAGGCTTGATTGAATTTATTTCTAAGACAGACCATATTGTTCGGAATCATTTTAAGTAAACTGTGTTCGATTCATGTACTACAATGTACCAACACTTTGTATGTATAGTGTCGTGTGTTATTATCAGTCCATAAAATATATTTATATATCGGCAATTAGTCTGATGATGGTCGTTAATTTTTATATTCTTCGCGTTTAATACTACTAATACGAGTTCTGAATCTTGCGGTAAAAGTGTGGCGCAAACAATCGATTATTTCTGCACAGAATCGCTGATTTCTTAGTGAATATAAGAAATAATTTTCTTCGTCATATATTACACCTTTGTATGTTATGCTGATTTGTGTATGTGGAAAGAATGTCAGATCAAAAAATGTTGAAGAATGAAGGTATCAGGGGACGTCAATCTGTACTATTCAGGGGGCTCGTGAGGAACACATAAAACTTTATAGTTTTATAGATTACATTGAACTATCCTGTAAACTGTTATTGAAAGCATAGATAAAGCAGGCTTGTGTGTAATTATGTGACCTAAATCTATGAAGTTTTTAAAACTGTTCGAAGCTCCCAGATAGATCGTATGTATATATGTGCGTATATTTCACGAAGGAGTCAAAAGTATTCGGAATTAACTTACACGCATGATACAACGGTCGAAAAGTATTTACTTATGATGTCTTTTTGCCGCAAAAAATACTGAAGATATAAGTATGGGAACTTACATCAGTCAGTCTCAAATTTGTCGTTTGTGTTTTATATTATTACGAAACAATGGCTTGCTTGATTGCAACGAATTTTAAAAATGAATGAGTATAAGCCCAATATAAAAATTGGTGTATGTTTTATTAGAATCAATTGGATGAATTATGAGATACAGTTTAACCCTTTAATGAAGGCGTTTACAATCGAATATGACCGGAGTATAGTAAAAATATGGATCACAATTAATACATAGGATTTTTTCCTA